ACAAAAATTAAGCCATCTCTTTCTTTTGCTCACAAGACACACTTCACATCCCCCATAGCTTCCTGCGCTTTGCATGCATCAAGTCTTTAAGAACTGCAGTTCAAAGTCTTCTGGAAGCGAGGCTGAGAGAGAACTTCATCTGAAACTTTGAAAGATGGAAAGCCAACAAGATAAATCAAACTATCTGAAGCTTAGCTCAGGGTAAACCAGTAAAGGTTTTGTAGTAACAGTGAAAGGAAAAGAATGAACAATTGTGACATGCTGACCGCAGGCAAATTATTGATTTCTTAACTTCAATAAAATGGGTGTGCTATTTGGTTGCTTCCTTGTGAAGAATTGCTTAGAGATACCACGTCTTTTTAGCAGCCTTCCTGACTTCTGACAAATCCATTTAATCTCAAGATTCCTTCAGGAAATCTACTCTCTTCTCCCTCCTCAGTAGGATTTAGGGCCAATAATGGGGCCATTGAAATGTTGGAAAGAAACATCACAAGAGACAGAAACCCATATAACTTTTAACATTAGCTAAGAAAAAACAGGCAGAGAAATGTGAAAGAGAGGGGGAGGAGAAGGAGGGGAGGGGGAGGAGGAAGAAGGAGAAGAAGAGGAGATGGAGGTGGAGGTGGAGGTGGAATAGGAGGGGAGAAGGAAGAAAGAGAAGAAGAATAGGAGGGGGAGGAGAGGAGGAGGAGGAGGAGAGGAAGAGGAGGGGAAGGAGGAAGAAGGAGAAGAAGGGGAGGGGAGGAGGAGGGAAGGAAGAAGAGGGGAAAGAGGAAGGAGGAGGAGGAAAGAAGAGGAGGAGGAGGAGGAGGGAGGAGGAGAGGAGAAGAAGTAGAAGAAGAAGAAGAAGAAGAAGAAGAAGAAGAAGAAGAAGAAGAAGAAGAAGAAGAAGAAGAAAGAAGAAGAAGAAGAAGAAGAAGAAGAAGAAGAAGAAGAAGAAGAAGAAGTTGTAGTAGTGGAGATGCTTCTTTCTCTTTCATGGTGAAGGGAAACTTAAGAAATTTTGGCAAAATAATTACCTACAATTGTTAAAATGCCAGAATTATCACTAGCAGATAATGTTCACTAATTTTCTCTTGACCTTCACCCCCTTTAGATACAATTCTTCCTTTTTGTCAAAAGCCCAATGAACAGGACAACGAGAGAGAAATAAAAATAATGGAATAATCATTCACATACTTTTACTTCCTTAAATTAAAATATTGACTTTCCCCTGAATCCTTTTAAATACCAAGCTTGATTTGAGATGAATCCCCTCGATGTAATGGGGCCCAGTATTACTGCCCTCTCCTTCACAAAGTAAGACTCTGGCCAAAAGGAAGGCCAGAGAAGTGGCTTCCAACTGCCTAGTTGCCTGTTTTAGAAGATTACGTTTATTTCTGTCCTCCTAACTGAAGTTTTGCTTCGTGGCTTTGGGTGTCAAGCCCAGAAATAGATTTTCTATAGGACCTTTTCTAAATAGATTTTTCCTGCATTTCCCCGATAGCTTTTCTGTCCTGAGTGAGGACTGATATCTTTCTGCCCAAAAAAGAACCTCCACTCTACAAAAAGGAAATTCCATTCGTGGTTCTTGAGATGCTGAACTCTTTGGTGAAGGCTTATCTTCCCCCATTCCTGGTCCACCAAGATCATCTTGGCATTGACAGGCACTTCCCGCTGTGGCAATCAATAGGAACCCCATGGAAATATTCTGCGTTTATTCTTAGATCTCAAGTTAGCTCTTTGGGGTTTTTAATCAGCTCGAAGCAGTACTGCATCGTTATGAGCCAAGGGACTAAAATAAAACAGGGATGAAATGGACACCTAAAGTTCACAGCTCGGCATATGAAGAAGGGTATTGCCAGCCATGGTGCAACATTTGGAAGCCTTAATTGGGTGGACAGGAGAGGGAAGTATCTGCAGTAATTAAGGAAAAAGTTGACTATAGTTTCTAAAAGTTGAAATACCAAAAGGAGACTGGGAAAGATATTTAGGTGATTAACAGATTCAAAGAGTTGGAAGGGACCTTGTAGGTCATCTAGTCCAACCCCCCACCCAAGCAGGAGATTCTACACCATGGAAATCCAACGTCTTCTTGAAAACCTCCAATGATGAAGCTCCCACAACTTCCAAAGGCAACTTCTGTTCCATGGGTTGATTGATCTGACTGTCAGAAAATTTCTCCTTATTTCTAGGTTGAATCTCTCTTGAACTGATAGCTCATATTCCATTATCATTTATGCAAGACATTACCATAATTTAACCTCTAAATTTAGGCAAGAAGTCATCCTAATTCATTATCATTTATCCTGGGAACAATCACAAGTTGTTATCATTGCCAAAATGATTGCAGTTATGATGTATCCAGGAAATCATAACTTATCACAATGACCTAAATTGTAATTTATTATAATTTACTCCCAAATTAATATACTTTGTCCAGGAAATTATTACAGGTTAGTGAGGAAATCACCATAATTTATACAGGTTAGGGTTGAGGGCGGGGGTTAGTTAGATAAGGAAGGGTTTGTTGTCCAGGAGTAACAATGACTTGAGAGTGAAGTTACAATTTAGGCCTGAAGAGGGCAGTCTCTGCCATGGAAACTCTCTGGTTGATCCTTGCAAGAAGAGACTTTTTAATTTTGTGAACCTGCAAATATTCTTTGCAATATTTTTCAAGCTGCTTTGTTAGCTCGGTGGTGCTAGCAGTTAAATATTGAAGCTAGCAATAACCATTGATAAATGGCACAGAACAACTCTTTCTGAGATATTGCCCAAGGGTGTGGGGAATCGGGCAAAACCTGGACAATTTCACAATCCCAGTTGAATCCGTTTGGAAAAAGGCATTGCTGTGCAGGGAGAGAAATGGTTTAAATTGTGCATCTTCAGTTGAGTCTGCACTTTAGTTTGATAGGCTGATTTCTTTTGGAAATCCTATTTGGTTTGTAGATTCCCTTGAACTGCCCTCAAATTGTAGCTGTGGATTTGCATAACCGGAATATTTTTCCATGAGGCATGAAAAGTGGAAGAAAATGCCTCCCTCCTCTGGTTGCTATACATATTAAACCCTGCAATTCAGTCTTGCAAGGTGGTATAAACAAGTATGAAATATTAACCACTAATCTCTCTTTTGATGGTGTTTATTAAATTGCTATATACCCATCACTCTTACTGTCTTGGCCTGGAAGTGGAGGAATAGTTATTATTTTTATTTGCACATTACTGCAATGTGTGTGTGTGTGTGTGTGTGTGTGTGTGTGTGTGTGTTTCTGTAGATGAGAGAGGGGGGAGGGAGGGAGGGAGAGAGAGAGAGATGATAGACAGATGATAGGTAGGTAGGTAGGTAGAGAGACAGAGACAGAGACAGATGATAGATGATAGATGATAATAATAGAATAGAATAGAATAGAATAGAATAGAATAGAATAGAATAGAATAGAATAGAATAGAATAGAATAGAATAGAATAGAATAGAATAGAATTTTTTAATTGGCCAAGTGTGATTGTACACACAAGGAATTTGTCTTTGGTGCATATGCTCTCAGTGTACATAAAAGAAAAGATACGTTCATCAAGAATCATAAGGTACAACACTTAATGATAGTCATAGGGTACAAATAAGCAATTAGATAGATAGATAGATAGATAGATAGATAGATAGATAGATAGATAGATAGACAGATGAGAGAGAGAGAGAGAGAGAGAGAGAGAGAGAGAGAGAGAGAGAGATGAGAGAGATGATAGACAGAGATAGCTAGATGGATGGATGGATGGATGGATGGATGGATGGATGGATGGATGGATGGAGAGAAAGAGGGGGGGAGGAAAAAGGTAGTTAAAATTTCGTCTTGCTCAATCCTCTTTTAAAGGGTTTAACTGGCATTTACAAATCTAATTGGTGAGGTTGCAGCAAACACCCACAGGAGACAAATGAATGCTGCCTTTCCAGTTGTTTTGTCACATGTGGATTAAATATGCAAAACTAAAGTCAGTCGTAGAGATCAGGTTGCAGCCTGGGAGCTCCTGACTTCCTTCCGAGCATTTGCATCCTGTTCTCTTCCCACACTTCTTTGAATACGTCTCTCTGTTTTCTGCATCCTGACAAAATCCCAGAAGGCCACGTCTATTTGTATTTGATCAGTGCCCTCCTGGGAGGAAGGGAAAAACAGATTACAGGGCATTATATAAAAGAAGAGAGAGGCAGTCTGGTGTAGTAAGTAGCTGAGGCACCCAGTCTAGAAACTGGGAGACTGAATTCTAGCCTTGTCTTTGGCACAAAGCTAGCTGGGTGACCTTGGGCTAGTCTCTCTCTCCCTCCCTCCCCTCTCTCCCCTTTCCTTCCTCCCTCTTCCCCCTCTCTCCTATCTAACTATCCTTCCCTTCCTCCCCTCTCTCCTGCCCTAAGAAGTAGGCAATGGCAAGCCATTACTGAAATCTTGGCAAGAAAAACACAAGGACTTGTCCAGACACTTGCTAGGACTCAACCCTGATTTGAAGGAGGGGAGGAGGAGGAGGAGGAGGAGGAGGAGGAGGAGGAGGAGGAGGAGGAGGAGGATCAGAGCCAAACAGTCTTACAATTATTATTGTTGAGTCACTTGTCTCGCTGAAAGAGGGACCCAAATCCTTTAAGCTCTTTTTACCAGAAATACAAGTAAACCATATTTTAATCCTAGCTTCTCCTTTCCCGTAACTACTCCTTTTGTTCTATTTAACATGGGGCGACTGAAATTCTGTATGTTTGTATCATAAAGTACAATCTGAGTTGAATGTCTCTTGGTGATTTCAAGGAGAGAGCCGTATAGTTTTATTAATTTGCTATTTGCCTTCCACTTTGGATTTTTTTTTTTATTTCCTAATCTAATCCAGAGGTTTTCTGGTCATTTCACAGCCAAGGACTAACCAAGTCTGAGTCTGCTTTCCATTTTTTAAAAATTAGTCAAAACTGGCTAAATCCACTGTGACTGCATCCTGAATATAGTTTTCCACATAAGGAAACATTTACGTTTACGCAGTAGTGCTGTCATGATAATTATTTAATTTTAAATCCACTTATTATCCAGCCAACAATACATTTTCCACTTTCTCCCCATCGCTCAAGACAGAATCTTTTTCTTGTTAACCAATATTACAGTGTAAGTCCTTTGACCTATTGGCACATTATATGATATTTGGGGAATTACTACCATGTTTTCCCGAAAATAAGACCCTGTCTTTATTTATTTATTGGTTCGATTTATATGCCGCCCTTCTCCGGAGACTCAGGGCGGCTTACAATGCGTTAAGCAATAGCCTTCATACTTTTGTATATACCTGCTTAGTAGGGCTTTCGCCCCCCCCCCACAAGCGGTGTTCTTTTTTTATACAAAGTCAGCTTATTGCCCCCACAAACCGGGTCCTCATTTTACCTACCTCGAAAGGATGGAAGGCTGAGTCAACCTTTGAACTTGCAGTAATTGCAGGCAGCTGGTGTTACTTAACAGTGCTTTAGTCTGCTGCGCCACCGAGGCTTATATTTTTTGAACCCCAAAATAAGCGCTTGGCCTTATTTTCCGGGTGGTCTTATTATTTTGGGGTGCGTGGAGCAAGATGGGGCTCCTCTTGCCATCTTACCTGATTTCCAGCTCTGTATTTAAATATTTTCAGGGAGGGCTTATTTTAGCGCATGCACTCAAAAGCCTGATTGGGCTTATTATCAGGGGATGTCTTATTTTTGGGAAAACAAGGTACTTCATAGTCTTTTCTAGTTGGATCCCAATTTCTATGATCAACAAAACAAACCAGTTCATTTTTTTCCCCCAACAGAAAATAATTTGGTATTCCTGGCACATCCCAGGCATTTCAAAAAGCAAGCACACACACAAGTCCCACAGTACAATAAAGTCACATCTTTGTCTCACTGGATTCACTAACTTCCTGGAACACAAAGGCAGGGTTGTCTAATCCCATCTTTGCCTTGGCTTTCGCGTCCTTCTCGTTGTAGAGGCAAAACGCACAATGTGGAGTTTCTACTTCCACAGTTTTGCTGAAGTTGTGAAAGTCCACCCTGTATTTCCCTTCTTTGGTCTTCGAAACAATGGGGGCAAAGCGATAACCCCACAGGACCTCTTCAGCAATGTAAGATGTCCGTACTTGGCAAGTCGCGCTGGTGGATTCTACGGTCCCGTCTAGAAACACCACCAGCTCAAAGTCATGTTGAGAGAGGGTATCGGCTGACATGTGAAAGAAGGGACTGTGCTTGTCGATGACATGGTAAATCGTCAAGGGGCAGATGAAGAAAAGGTTCTCATTGCCCGCATCAACCATAAAATGGATGTTGACTTGATCCAAGATGATCGTCTCTCCTTCAGGTGTGATGGTGGTTTTCAAGAGTTTGCCGTAGATATGACTTCCAATCAGCAGACTTTTCCTGAGGTTGGCCACCCGGATGAGAAGACAGAGTTTTCCACCTCGTTTACTAATCACAGCATTTTTGCTAAAGGTGATCGTTTTTGCTCTCTTTTTGGGTCTGGAGATTTTGGCCAGAATGGCCCCACACATGAAGGAGTTGATGATAACTCCTAGGATAGATTGAAAGATGAGAAGAAAAATGGCGGTGGCACACTGTTCCGTAACACACCTGAACCCATAGCCAATAGTGACCTGGGTCTCCAAGGAGAAGAGGAAAGCTGAGGTCAAACCATTGATGTTATCTACACATGGTGTGTGATTTATAGAAGGGCTGAACTCTGGCAGATCTTGATGGATGTAGGCCACCACATACCAAAGAAGACCAAATAAGAACCAGCTTCCCAAGAAAGCTGAAATAAAGATGGTCATCTTATACCTCCACCTGAGATCCAGGATGGTGGTCCAGATGTCGATCAAGAAAACAAATCTCGACTCTTCTTCGACATTCCCAAATTCTATGTTACACCTTCCATCTTTTGACACCAGTCTTGACCTCCGTCTCTTGCATTCGGTCCAGTGCAGCGTGAAATGTTTCTGGAAGTATTTAAACATTCCCAGCAGTCACTCTGGATTAAAAGGGAGAAATGGAAGAATTATTACGATTTCTTGTAAGCGTTTTTCTTTTCTTTAACGAACGTATCCGTGTAGAAAAAGATTCCAGTCGACTCTTAAATAGGGAATTATGGAATAGCCTAAGGACGCATTCCAAAGTGGTACTTAACTCGGGTAGGTACTGTAACGCTAATGGCTTAAATTCTACCTCATGACTGTCCTTCAAAGCAGCTAGCAATGTATTTTCTCTACTTTTCATTGCTGGAACCAATAAAAGTTACAAGAAGCTCTTACAGTAGCACAGTTACCACTAGCGAGTTGATAAGTACTTCATTTGTGATTGCTCAGCGTTGATTTGGCGGTGGTGACTTATGTGTGTGAATGCATGAATTAACTCTGCAGAAAAATGCCCGCGGCATGAGAAATGACAGAGAAAATTTAACCTGGAGTGCATTATGACCTATTTCGGGATGTGAAATGTCACGGGATGATGGGGAAAGGGCCAAGAGAGGAACGCACGTGTATAAATCAGGACTCAGTGACGTTGACATCATGCTGGAGCTTTCTGAAAATGTTCTCCTTTGTGACTCAACCCGTTGCTAAGCCCGAATGCTGTCATGGCTCTACTTTATAGAGACATATGGGGAAGGTTTGGAATCTATCCCAACTGGAAAGCAACCATGGTCTTTGAAAGCACAAAACGTGACATTGTCACTATGGCATGAAAGCAGAACTGAAGGTCTCTTGTCCAAGTTGAAGGCACACATATGTTACTCTTTAAGATGACCCAAGACTCTTGGCTCCTTTGGGGCTGAACATTCACCCAGCAAACCCTCTGGAAATTTAGAATAGAAGAACAGAGTCGGAAGGGACCTTGGAGGTCTTCTAGTCCAACCCCCTGCTTAGGCAGGAAATCCTACACCACTTCAGACAAATGGTTGTCCAATCTCTTCTTAAAAACTTCCAGTATTGGAGCATTTACAACTTCTGGAGGCAAGTTGTTCCATTAATTGTTCTAATTCTCAGGAAAATTCTCCTTAGTTCTAAGTTGCTTCTCTCCTTGATTAGTTTCCACTCATTGCTTCTTGTCCTACCCTCAGGTGCTTTGGAGAATAGCTTGACTCCCTCTTCTTTGTGGCAGCCCCTGAGATATTGGAAGACTGCTACCATGTCTCCCCTAGTCCTTCTTTTCATTAAACTAGACATACACAGTTCTTGTAACCGTTCTTCATATGTTTTAGCCTCCAATCCCCTAATCATCTTTGTTGCTCTTCTCTGCACTCTTTCTAGAGTCTCAACCGGGGTGAAATCCAGCAGGTGCTGGAGAACCGGTAGTGGAAATTTTGAGTAGTTCAGAGAACTGGCAAATGCCACCTCTGGCTGGCCCGAGTGGGGTGGGAATGGAGATTTTGCAATATCCTTCCCCCAGGAGTGGGGAGGGAATGGGGATTTTGCAGTATCCTTCCCCTGGAGTGGGGTGGGAATGGAGATTTTGCAGTATCCTTCACCTGCCACGCCCACCAAGCCACGCCCACCAAGCCACGCCCACAGAACCGGTAGTAAATAAATTTGGATTTCACCACTGGTCTCAACATCTTTTTTACACCATGGCGACCAAACCTGGATGCAGGATTCTAAGTGTGGCCTTCCCAAGGCATTATAAAGTGGTATTAACACTTCACATGATCTTGATTCTATCCCTGAGTTTATGCAGCCTAGGACTGTCTTATCTGGACATATAAGGGGAACTTTTTTTTTTCTCACACAGTGCTATAATTTATGGTGCAGAGCAAGAAACCGCTTTTGGAAGGTTGAGGAGACAGAGATTCCCCTTATGCGCTCCTGCTCTACGGAAGACCTTGATTGTGAGAATTGCAAACAGCATTCAGACACACCTACCACAGCACCTGAGACATATGATCCTGGAGTGCTTCAATTCATGAGGAGGGAAATATGTGAGAAGTGTTGTTGCCTAGGCAATACAGGGAAGGAATCTCTTCTATTTGCCACCCAACACAAAGGACAAATTAGGTTGCTTCTATTCAGACCATGTTTCTATTTTGCTTGGGCTTTAATTTTAATTGGTATTGGATTAGGGGTAAAAACAAAACAAAACCACATACCAAATACCAGAACTTGTTTTTTGTTTTGTTTTTTTGCAGAAGAAATGAATATAGAATTGAAAAACGGGGCAAGTAACTATGTACTTTCACTGCAACATTTCTAATAAAAACAAGAATTTGTTCAAAACTCTGCACTGGCTTGTTTTTCCCCCCCCTTTTTTTTTGATGCCTTCCGGTCTGTGTTGACTGCCAGGACAAATCCCTGCAGTTTTCGTGGCAGGGATTCAGAAGAGGTTTGTCCTTGCCATCTTCTTCTTCCTAGGGCTGAGAGAGAAGGACTGGCCCAAGGTCACCCAACTGGCTTCGTGTCTAAGGCAGGACTGATCTCCCAGTTTCTAGCTCGGACCTGGATTGTATCTGTATACAATTTTTCAGGCAAACCCCATCCACCAGAACTGTCTCCTTTTGGTTTTTCAGGTGTGAGATGGAGAAAGAGTAGCATGCTTAAGCCTGTTTTGAGTGAGGACGTGGTGAAATAACAACTCGGGATTCCCAGAGGCAAGTTCAGGATCTTGACCACATGATATGCATGTGATGCAAGGAAGCTTGGGGATTGTTGGCAGGGGTGGGCTGCTGGGGGTTTGCAAGGGTTCGGGAGAACCTCTAGCTAAGATTCTATGCAGTTCGGAGAACCCCCAAATCCCACTGCTGGCTGGCCCCGCCCGCCCCACCCCTCCCAGGAGTCCCCACACAGCCCGTTTTGGATGCTGGTAAATGCAGGGTGCACACGGAAGCTTGGGGAGGGCGAATAATGGGCCTACCAGAAGATCAGGAAGGGCCTCCAGAGCTTGGGGAGGCCGTTTTCGCCCTCCCGGATGCTCAAGGAAAGTCTCCGGAGCCCAGGAAAGGCAAAAATACCCCCCGCCACCGCCGTGGTGCAGGAGGCTGACTAGGCCACACCCACCATGGCCACACCCACCTAGCAACCGGGCAGATAACCCCTTGCTAAAATTTTTGAAGCCCACCCCTGATTGTTGGTGACCTTGTTTATTGAATGAATTGCATTTACAATTATCACCCACTCCCAAAGACTCTGGACCGCTATCCATATTATTAAGGCAGTCCTGCATCAAGAGCCCATCTCTCAGCTGCTCTCTTATAACTTCAAACTTGCTAAAATTTATCTCAAATTTTGGGTTGCAGGCAATGCGGAGAAGGAATGGAGGCTCCCAGGGTTTAGGAGAGGACAATTTCAGAGTTCCTGCTTCAGAGATTCCTGTTTAGAAGGCCATGCCAGAGATGATCCTGCATCACCCCTAGATTTAATTCACACAATACTTGGTTTTGCTTAACATGTGGGAATCCAGCCATTATGGATATTAGAGTGGTTTGTTGAAGTATTATGCCAGAACCCTTGTAAAAGGGGAGGGGGGAAGGAAATGGAAAGGAAGGGAAGGGAAGGGAAGGGAAGGGAGGGAAGGGAAGGGAAGGGAAGGGAAGGGAAGGGAAGGGAAGGGAAGGGAAGGGAAGGAAGGAAGGAAGGAAGGAAGGAAGGAAGGAAGGAAGGAAGGAAGGAAGGAAGGAAGGAAAAGGGAGAAGAGGGAGGGGAAGGGAGAGTAACAGTAACTTCTATTTATAATCTTTAGAAGATGTATTTTGGGTAATGATGTATTGCCCTCCCTCACCTTTCCCTTAACAACTTGCAGAAATGGGGTAGTGAAATGTGCAATGGGACATCTTATGGAGATCCCACCACCACAGCCAAACTTACTGGCGGCCATATTGCTCCTCTCCCTCTCCCTCAAATCAGCTCCAGTCATAGATTTCCTTCAAAGAGGGGATTCTACTCCAAAAAAAAAAAAAAATGCTGCCATCTGATTTTCTTCTCCAACAGAAATCCCCCAATCTGATGGTACTGAGCAGGCTCAGTCTTTCCAACCCTGGATAAAATTTGCTTACTTCTAAAGCTGGGGTGTCAAACTGGATTTCTTCAAGGACCGAATCAGCATTGTAGTTCTCCTCTGCTGGCTGGGGGGCAGGGAGCAGGGGGGTAGACGGGATGGATGCTTCCTGCAGCACCCTGCCAACCAGAACATGGTGGGGGGGTCACGTGTGGCCCTCCCGCACCCTGTTTTTGTCCTGGACAGCCTCCTGCAGCACTTTACCGGCCAAAAACAGGCTGCACAGAGGTCTCATGAGGACCCCTCACGGTCCATTTTCAGCCACCCCAGCCGCACTCTGCTGGCCAAAAATGGGCCCCGCGGAGGCCCCCGTTTTTGACTGGGAGAGTGCTTCTGGAGGCCAGGGAGACCGAAGACGGGCTGCACGGAGGGCCTCACAGGTTGGCCCTTTGATATTTCCACGCCGGCCCCGCAGGTCAGATTTAAGTTTGAGTTAGACACCCCTGTTCTAAAGAATCTGGGGGAGAAGAGGGCACTTTTACAAACCTCTGTTGATCCCTCATCATTTTTCACTGTCCTTTTTTTATTTTTTTGGCCTTCATGCATTGGAGTCTGCTGTTAGAAACATGAGAAGTTAGCAGACACTAGGGCATGTTTTACTCTATCCTACCCTACTCCAGTGGTGAGTTGTGTTGTGGCCCGCCAGCAGCCTGCGTGGATCGTGGCTGATCCCGATGACGAGGAGGCTGGTGAGGTGTTGAGCCAGGAGCCGGCGCAGCCGGCGCTCACGTCGGACAGCGAGGAGGCCGAAGAGGATGTGATGCCAGAGGCAGAGACTCAGCCAGGGCCTTCAAAACCTCCAGAGGCTCCTTCCAGTGGAGACAGCAAGGTGGAGGAGCCTCTCCTCAATGCTTGGACACGCAGGGCTGCCAAAAGGCAGGAGTGGCTACTCAGGAGGAGGAGGTCTACTCGAGAGTAGGGCTTGAGGATAATTGGCCACTCCCTTAGCCTATTTAAGTCGCACGCAGCTAGTGCTTTCTTGCTAGAAAT